AAATGAGAGAACATCCTCTCTGTAATCAATTCTATCCGTTTACATGCTCTTGTTAGACATTTATAAATCTCATAAATTATTCCTTAGTTTGAAACATTAGATGCTGTCATACAAAGGAAGAAGGTTCGACCCATGATTGAGTTATTGTCTAAAAATAATATATACATATAGCATTGGCAAAAAGCTTCACTTCAAGCAGCAGATGGACGTCAAAGCAGACAGACTGTAACCAACAATATTTTGCCCACATGCCCATCTGCTCCGTTGAATCAAGAGACTAAAGGTGGGCAGGAACATGTGACCAGATTAACATGACATGACTTTTAGAAGGGGCAGAGTGCAGATCTGGGCGTCATTCTTTAAGGTTTGGGTTGCTACTCTCCCCCAAAGGCTATGTGTTGGAGGCTTGACTGCCAGCCATAGTCACTATTAGGAGGTGGTGGATCCTCAAGGGATGCCTGGCCTAATGAGAGGACATCGTGTCATTGGGGTCATGACCTTGAAGGGGATATTGGGACCCACCCCAGGCTCTTGCTCTTCTTTGTTCCTTCCTGGCTACCATGAGATAGCATAGCTCCCACCACATGCCTCATCCCAGACCTCAACACAACCGAGACAGGTGACCCATGAATGGACTGACATTTCTAAAACTCTCAGCTACAAGCAATCTTTCCTCCTTTCAAGTTGACTATCTCAGGTATTTTGGGCATAATGGGTAGCTAATAGATTCTTTTATAGTGAAAGTCTCACTTATTAGAGTGATACCATTTATTCTGTTTGTGTCACTCCTCAATCATCAATCACCTAAGATGTATTGGTTGTTGGTATAAAAGAGGAGTTCCTACAACGGTGCCAAGCAAGTTGTTCCATTCATAGCATCATTCCGAGACTTGAGAGGTGATTAGCTTTTCTCCACAGGACGCATAACTCATTACAGTGATTGTGTGGGAGATAAGTTGGCTTCCAGTTATATCTTTCTGTAGAAATGTGACCACAACTTGACATGCCTTCAGTTCATAATCCTATTCTAGCAAATTTGGTTGCCATTATGTTAGAATGGTCACATGGACAGTAATGGTGCCATTTTGTAAAAATATATAGGGAGTGAGCCAATGGTGTCCCATCTGCCTGCTCCTGCTAGCTGAGATCAAGCACAAGAATGGTGAGCTCAATCACTCTACCCACCTACTCCAACATTCTAGGAGAATTGATGCCCTCCCACAGCTGTCTTTTTATCTGATCAAATCAACTTGAATGCCCCTTAGAAAGGCATATTCCATTCTTGATCTAGTTGTGAGAGTAACTGAAGACTCTAGAGGCTAGAATCCAGGAAGCTATATTTTAACAAGTCCTTAGGTGATTCTTATCACAAGAACTAAATCACTAAGCTGAGGTAAGATACTACAATCTCCAGAAAGAAACTGATTACTAATTTGCAAGTTTCATAAAGCCAGAATTTAGGCCTTACTGGTTTTGCTCTTTGAGATTTGAACCACTGGAATTCCACACCCTGCCCCGCTCACCTGAGTTCCTACTCAGCCCCTTCAACTTAGATTCAACCAACTCTCTACCTCGGAGGAACCAACTTCCTTACTTTTCTGGATGCAACTAGAACCCTGACTTTAGACACCTGTTTATTTTTTGAGGATCACTTTACCATACATTGTTCTTTTCTTTTGTCCTGGTTTTCTGTAAAGGAAACAAAAATGAAAGCCTAGAGACTGGAAATAATGTCCTTTCTATTAACATCTTTCCTATTAACATAATTTCCTTCCTTTCTTTCTTCCTTCCTCTCTCTTAACTTTCCTTCTCTTCTTTCCTTTCTTCTCTCCTCCTTCCCTCCTTCCTTCCTCCTTTTTTTAACTTTCCTTCCTTCTTTCTTTCTCCCGCTCTCCCTTTCCTCTCTTTCTTCCCTTTATTTATTTATTCATTTATTTATTTATTTATTGCCAGTCATGGGGCTTGAACTAGGGACCTGGGCACTATCCCTGAACCCACTAGTGCTCTACCATTATGAGCCACAACTCCACTTCCGGTTTTCTAGTGGTTAATTGGAGTTCAAAGTCTCATATACTTTCTTGCCTGGGATGGCTTTGCACTGTATCTCAGATCTTTGAACTCAGATCTCAGCCCCCTAAGTAGCTAGGATAGTAAGCATGAACCACCACTGCCCAGCTATTTCTCTCTTTCTTTCCTTCTTTCTTTTCTTTCTCTCTTTTTTTCCTTTTAGGCCACTCTATAAGCTACTAAATGAGTACTACTACACAGAATAGATATTTCTACATGATCTATAAGTGAAAAAAAAAAAGGGCTTTTGAAGTGAAAATGCATATACCCAATCCTATTTACACCTACATTCCTGTTTTTAAATTTTTGGTATTTTTGACAGTAAAATACTAGAACTCTTTCATAAGATTGTGGAAATTAAATGAGAAAACAAACATAAGATGCTTAGTCTAGCATCCTGCACAAAATGAATGCACAATGGATCTTACCCATTGTTATTAAACAGGGTTATTTTGTGTACATAGCCAGAGCTGGAGAAGTCCTGTGAATTAACCTGTTCAAAAGCTGCTTTCTTCCAGAGGAGAAAAACCAAAGCTCTCAGGGTTAAGATTGTCTTCCTCTACATTGAAGCAGCAAGGTTTTCTAAACCAAAATTTAATATTCTTTCAACTCTCCATTTTTTTTTGTTTGAATTCCTAACTGAGATGACTGAAATAACAGAAAAGCTGTGAGGCCAGTTGTTTCCAAGGGATGAGTTTTATCTAACCAGATTTGTAAATGACAGAATGAGAAGTCTGTGAAAATAATTCAGTAACAACATAGCATTTATCTCCTCTTGGGTGGTTTCTTTTGTTTCACTTGTATTCAATTACCTTATGCTCAAAGATTACACAATGTTCAAGGGTTTTGTCTGGAAAGAGTTAGCCATGAACTGAAAGTCATTGGAAAAATTTAAATTTCTATCCAATTAAAGGGGGGGGAGGGGAGAGGTGATAGGAAACCAAAGAAAAGTTATCCTCATCAGGAAAATTAAACTATGTGTCTGAAACAAAGCAATAGATGTGTGTCCATTTTGCATTCCTTTTAAGTATGTCTTTATATAATTTAAGGAGAAACTGTATCTTGCATCCTATGCAGTTACTTTTTTCTAACAATTCATCCTTATCTACTTATAAGAGTAATTAGAAGATTTTTCGTTTAAACTGCCCATGTTTGCTAGCCATGATTAGATTCTCTCTCTTCAAATAATCTCTTATGGTAAACAATGAGGTAATGCTATGTGGCTTTTTGCTTGATATCACCTCAATTTTTTTTTTTATAGTCACATTGGCATTCTGACCATGGAGCATGAGGATAGCGATGACTTCATTCTCGGGGATGAAGGCAGAATGATCTTAACCTTTCTATCATGTTCCTTTAACTCAGAGCACTAATGAAATTGAAGGGACTGATAAATAAAATTTCTGTAGGAAAAAAAAAGATGACATTGTAAAAGGCCACTTCCAAATTACCTCTAAAAAGGACAAAATACATGTCTTAGGATCCCAGTTCACAAACTCCTGCCTCACAGCTCAGGGAAAAGCTGCCAATTTTGTTATTGTTGTTGTTTTAGGAGAAACTCAAACTTTGAAGGACATAAGAATTTTCTACCTTAGTTGTTACAGAAAGGAAAAAAGAACTAATATTAAACAAAACTCCAGCAATTCAAAATGAAGCTCTGCTTAGAGGCAGATTATTCATTTTATTGTTTATTAAGGGGATGCTGGGATGCTTCTATTAGCACAAACCTAAGTGGCACTGTGGCTCAAGTGGTAGAGCAGAGCGTTTGCCTTGAGCTGAAGAGCTGAGGGACAGCGCCCAGGCCCAGAGTTCAAGCCCACAACCAACAAAATAATACTTAAACATACAAAAAGGTTTGAAAAAAATAGGTGTGCTGATACTGAGGCTTGAACTCAGGACTTTGAGTCTCACTCCGCTTTTCACTCAAGGCTGGTTCTACCACTTGAGACACAAATTCCTCCTTCGTCCCTTTCTTTTTATTTTCACTCCCTGATTTTTGTTGTTGTTGTTATTGGATTTTGGACAGTTTTATTGTTGTTTTGGGGTGTTGTTGTTGCCATTTTTACCGTATTGTGCCTCAGAACTGATCATATTTTGAAGTCTTTTATTTTTATCTTTTCATATACAGGCCAACATTGGGAGCAAAGAAAAAAAAATCAACACCATTTTGCTAAACCCGATTCACAGGAAGGAGGAAAGGTTTGTTAAGTTATATTCAGTATTTCCCTTTCCAAAATAAGTAACGAGGAGCTGGGGCTGCGGCTCAAGTGATGGAGCACCAAGCTGGATGAAAACGCCAAGGGAGAGCTCCAGAGCCCTGAGTTCAAGCCCAGCACAGAACACACACACACACACACACACTAATTAACCTCTTCCTTTGTGTCCTGTACGTTTGTAAGGCCATTCAGCAGGTACACACCCAGCCAAAGCTACACACACACACACACACACACACACACATACACGCACAGAGCACACCTTGCTACAGCCAACCATCACACCTGGCAATGCCAAGCCATCACCCAAATCCCTGCTCCCTGTCCTCCAGAAACTCCCCTCTTCTCTGCTCTCCTCCCCCTCCCTTCCTCTCCCTTCCCCTCTCCTGAGCCTTCCCTTCACCTCCCTTCTCCTTCCCTGCCCCCTCTCCTCCCCCTCTCCCCTCCCCTCCCTACTCCTCTACTCTGCTCTCCACTTCCTTCTCCTTCCCCCTTCCCTTCCCTCCCTACCCGACTCCCTAGTCTCCCCCTCCTGTTCTCCTTGGCTTCCACTTTCCCTCCCGTCCCTTCCCTTCTCCTCTCCCTTCTCCCGTCCCCTTCCCTCCCCTCCCCATTCCCCCGTCCTCCCTCCTTTCTTCTCGGCCTCCACTTGCCCTGCCCTGCCCTGCCCTCCCTGCCAGCCTGGGCCGGCCCCGGCCCCCGCGGGCGCGTTCTCACCGCGTCCGCAGTCGCAGTAGCCCCAGTCCACCTGGCCGCGCGCGTTGCGGTGGAAGCACCAGGCTCTGCCCGCGCCGTCGGGGCTC